ATTATTATTATTATTTCTGAATTTTTAGATTCGTATTATGATTGCAATTCTGAGTTGTTGTTTGTGCATTTCAGTTTATGTTTTTAACATTCTATTTTTAATTAAATTATTTGCATATAACAGTATACTTAGTAGACAGGGGCGACTCAATAAAATAGGAGGCCTAAAACGACCAATATTAATAAGGTCTTTTATTTTTAAAAAATAATTTAAATTTTTTTATTTTGTTTTTTGCCTATTGAGATAAAAAATTACTATTTCGTTTTTATTAAGTTTGGCAAACATTTTTTTTTATTGACTGAATGATTAATTCGCTTAACCTTTCTTATATATAGTTGATATTATAGAGAATTTTATTAGTTTTAATTTTGAAAAGCTTATAGAAAATATTCTAGCATGTCAATAATATTATGTAAAAAAAAATATATTTGAAAAAGAATCTATTATTTCCATATAATTCAGTATTTCAAGTAGAATATTTTCTTTCGTTTATAAATTTTTTGTTAAAATATTTATGTCTAAAAACTAATCTATACTATTGATAGTAGAGAAACATTTGAAAATTTTTCATAATACATTTTCATATTAAATAGAAAAAAGCAAAATTATTTTACTTAAGATCAATATATTGTGTTGTTTTGTCATCGATATTTTTATTAATTTTTTTATCTACAAATTGTTAGTTATTCAGAAATATAAGTTTGGTGGGTTTAAAATGAAATATAGAAATTAACGTTAATTATACATTTTGAAAGAGAGTTATAGGCTTAATTTGAATTGAACTTGTAGATTTTTTTTCTACTTAAACATTTTTGTTTTAATTTCAAATGTTATTGTGTGTGGCAAATGGGTTGGACTCTTGGGCCCAACTTTATTTAATATTTCTTAGTTAGTTAGGATTTTTTACGGCCTATTTTTATTGTCAAAATTTTTTACCTAGATCATATTTTAAGGCCTATGAAATTTGGGGGCCTTCTTCATGGGTCTTTTACTATTGGGCCAGCTCTTTTACTATTGGGCCAGCTCTGGTAGTAGATTTAGATTTTATTATAGTAATTAGTTTCTCAATTTGATTATATGCATATATATCTTGGATAACAAGTTCCCCTCCATTTTCTCTCTTGTTTTAACTATTGCTTTTCAAATTCCTAGAACGCATTGAGTATTGTAACTACTGCCTTTAAGATTCTAAGATAACCGTTTTATTCCCTCCATCACAAAGGTTATAACTGCCTTGAATTTGAACAAGTCATATCGACTGACTGTATATCTATTTTTGATTAAAAGAATATCATGTGATAATTGTCCTTAGCTGACTTGTTCATGGGACAGGTGTCATTTATCGCCTATTCACCAAAAATATAGAATTTGGTCCAAATAATGTGTGAGAATGATTAATCAACCCACTAATGGGCAATATCCAGCGACATTGGGGGATGGACGTATTTTGGGTTGGGTATAAGCAGGATAGATTTACACTTGGGATAGTGGGGGCAATTGCCCTTAGTCTTGGAATTTTTTTTAGGTATATTTGAAAATTTAAATTTTTAGATTTTTTTCAAATTTGTCGCCACTAAAATATTTGTAAAATTTATGAATATAATTATACTTGAACAATACTTTTGAGATATAAAAAAAATGATCTAAAAATGTATCAAGTGAAGTAGTCTAATGAAGAACTCCAAGAGTTGCAATTAGAATAACGATAAATCAACTATACTAAAAAGAGATGTCATAGTGAAAAATGCTAAAACCAATAGGGACTACCCTAGACTTAGTTATGAAAATAAAATTGAAAAAATGTGTAAATGACTCTTAAGGTTTTTTTTTTAAATCATAAATGTGTTTTGAAAATATAGATTGAGTCATTTATCGAACCTTACTTGAGCAACACTTTTTAGTGCTCAAGAGTACAAACTTTTGCTTGGTTTCGACCTTAAAACCAAAAAAGGATCATCCTTTGTGTGCTTGCCTTTGGTTAGAGTGATCTCTAAATACTTAAGAATAAAATCAGAGAAGGTTGTCAAATTAGGCAATGGACACTGCCCTCTATCCGCTCCTAGGTTGCTCGAGCGATCTGCAGGCTGTTGAGCTGGCTTTGCTTGCCAGATCTAGTTAGGACCATTTTTCATTCCAATGAGAACCACCCTCTGACCATTCTCCCATTACTTGAGTGATCATTGGTGAATTTTGGTTTACTTTGTCACCAAGACTAACCTAATTTCCATCCTATAAATAGGGAAAACCTTCTAGAGCTAGGGTATCTCTTTTCTTTGTTTATTTCCTGCCTCCTAAACCTTAAGAGATCGTAGATAAACCCTAGATCTCTAAGACCAAAGTTCATCCATCTTGAATCTTCAATTCAAATTCATATCTTGAAGCAATAAGTTCTTACTTGGAATTACAAAACCCATTGAAGTAGTGTGCATCCTAAGGATCTTGGCAGAGAAGGTCGCTCGAAGAGTCTAAACAATCTATTGTTGTGGAGGCGTTCAAGTGAAGCTATTCATACATGTGGTGGGAGAATCCATAAAAGATGTTACTGAAGGAAAGGGGTATCTAACCATGATATTGGTTAAGGTATAAGTTTCGAATACTTGTAAATTAACCTTAAATTAGTGCATTAAGCTAGGTGAACCTTGAGTAATTCTGTAATTTTTCTCAATTGAGTTTTCATGTAAACAAATTGCTTGTATCTCTCATTGTTTTAATTGTTGTATATACACTTGCAATTGCAAACGCATGCACTATATGTTTGAATAAATGATTGTTTTTTTTTTTCGATTCATTAAAAATGGTTTTGTAATCAATTGGCGCTAGTGAAACCAGTGTCTTGGCGAATTTGAGTGTAAAATTATCAATTGTTATTTGTGTATATCAATTCACATGACATGGTTTTTGGGTTGAGAAAAGGAGTTCATAATCTTAATTGATCAATTAATTTATTAATTGATAACTGTGATAGACTATGTTAAAAATTAGTGTTTGTTCAACCTTAAATTGAATTAACTTATTCACCGCACTCTAGGTTGTGTCTAGCATTCCATGTATACAATCATGAGGCAAAATCTAATGGGCATCTTTCCCCATAGTCAATCATCATATTTACTTTTTGATTTTTAGATGAATTATAAATTATAAAGAAATTATAAATAAAAGTGTAATTGTTAATAAATGAAGAGATTATGAATAAAAGTGTAATTGAGAAAAAAAGATAAAATCGAAATAAAGATATGATTAATAGAGTCTAAAACTAATTTGGAACAACTATTAAAAATTAGAACCAGATTGTCCTAATAGAAATTTGACACAACTTCAAGAGTTTTTTTGTTATAAAAAGTAGGGCTTATTTGACATTCGCTCTTAATTAAACAAGTCATACAATGTCAAGATATTTACCGTAATTAATTAAACAAGTCTTATTACAATTGAGTAGCTTGCGACAAAAAATTAAAGTAACATGACATAAATGCAATAGGAGAAAATATACTCAGATTATATCCCTTAGTAACACCATTATCCGTTATAAAAATAGACTAGTTTTCATTCATCGTGAAGAACAAAAAGTAACCACCGCGGTCCTACTTTACTTAGTTTTTCAACAGAGGATGAAAGTCATGCCCTCCTTCACTAGTCATGAATTCGAATTCGAATTCGTTTGTGGTAGTAGTTCATCTGAATCAAATACTATCGAAGGGGTTGAGTGTCCACTTTGTCCTCAGTAATGTTGTGACGACGAACTCGACAATCTTATGTCAGCAGTTATGACTCAAACCGAACATTTTACGGAAGGTGAGAATCGTGGGCGAAGCAAAGAATATCCATGGGGAGGGGGCAAAATATAATTGATACAAAAAATATTTAGCCAAAATTGATATAAGAAAATTGAGTTTAAGAATGACAAAAAAGTAAGAATTAAGACAAAATTATTGTGAAATAATAAATTTAATTTTTATTTAATCGAAACAAAATCCTAACAAAAAGATACAAAATAAGTTTATAGTACATTTTAACCAAATTATATATTTCAATAAAACATATATTTTTTTAAAATCTCTAAAATTTTGTATATGAATTAAATGTAAATTATTTTTTCACTAATTTTTTATCAATACACACAATCACAAGTCCGTAGTAAAATTATTCTTTATTTAATTACAAAATTTAGTTGAGATCATTATCGATCTTATAGAGAAATTCCTTGTTTGAAATAGGTTGAAATATTTTTGGGTTACAACTTTTTGTCTGTTGTATACAGTCATATTTTATTAGGTTATAGACTATTATTACTCAAAAAATAGTAAATAAAAACTAAAAATTGTTCTTAAAAGGTAACGAACATTATGTTAGATATAGAAAAATATTGTATCAATATACAAATATATCAAAATAGTTACATCTGATTGACACAATCTAAAATTAACATTTATTTTAAAGATATAAATAATTTTATGAGTCCTCATTTAAGATAGTCCAAAATTGAGAGGCAAGTGCCCACCCTCGTCCCATTAAGACTTGAAGGTTTAAGTTTTAAAATTTAGACGGTAAATTAATAATTGATTATTATACTAACTTAATTAAATTCATTTGCGAGAAAAATAATAGGTGTAGTTAAGGTCCTTGATCCCACTAACGAGAATTCATGATATTCTCTTTTTTCCCCCACAATTTTTTTAATCAGAACAAAAAAATCCAAAATTAATGGATTTCATTATTTGAAAAGCATGAGAATGTGGTAGTGTCCGATTCCCTCGTGAGGGGTGCCGCCGCGGACACCGCCATTCCCATTTCACCGAACGAACGATTGCAGAAGTAATTTCACGGGGCGACAACACATACACCCCTCACCCACCGTCTCTCCCTCTCTCTCTCTCTACCCTTCCCCTACCCCTACCCCGAAAAATCCAAGAAAATAAGACACAGACAGACACATTTCACCCTTCCTTCTATCTCTATCTCTATCTCTCTCTTCTTCCTTCTCCCTCCAAATCAAAACAATCATGGCTTCAGCTACTGCTTATGCTTCATCTTGTTACTGTGCTGTTTTCTCTCCCCAATGCCTTCCACGGCTGTCTCCTTCAAGATCAAGAAGAAAAATCACTGCTACTTTCAATTTTAGTACCAATTATCAGTCTTCTTTCAACAGTTTCAAATACACCCATGTACCCTCTTTGCCCTTCTTCCCCACCACTTCTTCCTCCTACTTGTCCTCAGCTCGCATTGGTTTGACCGCCGTGGCATCGTCATCGACGAAGAATTCAAATACAAACCCGGCTAATAAGAAGAATGATTCAGAGAAGAAACGAGAAGAAAAGGAAGTGGAGGAGGAGGAGGAAGTAGAAGAGGAGCTTCCATGGATACAGGAGAAGGCGATGGACTTGGTGGAGTTCTCGGGCTCAGTTACACAGGCCATTCCTGGTCCCAGAGTCGGCCAAAGCTCGTTGCCCTGGATTCTCGTTATCCCCTTGGCTTATGTCGGTATTTCCTTTGTCATTGCATTCGTCAAGACTGTTCGCAAGTTCAATTCCCCTAAGGAGAAGCGCCGCAAATTGGTTTGTTCCCCTTCAGAACTTCAGTCCAATTCCCATTTGCTTGTTTCTTTTTGTTGTTGTTTCATTGTTTGCTTGTTACACTCAATTTCATGTTCAGTAGGGTTTTTAGAATGTTTTTAGCATTTTGTGTTTTCCGATGCGATTATTGTATGCACTAGCAATCGTAGGTCTTGAGTTCTAATTACCCATGTTAATATGTGAACATTCAAACCACTTCCTTTCTCAAAAGAATAGCTTCCTTCAAAATTCTGGCTTCCCATAGTTCACGCGTCTCAATTTCACTTGGCCTAATAGGAAAGCCAATCCGCTACCCCGCGCCATTTCATTGGGGTGTTGAATCCTTGTATTATTTGCGACTGAAAGGAATATATGTGAACGTTCTTATGCACAACAATATAATTCACTCTTACCACTCAATGCTCCCCTATATGGAGAGGTAATGATAAATGTGAAACCCTGCTTTCAGCAGTGATGGACGAGGATTAGCACTCTAAATCTTCAAATATAAGGAAATAGACAGCTGCTCTAACCTCATACGCGTCGTGCCATATGCAATTAGACTTATGACTTTTCTGCCTCGGTACAATGTTTGTTCTTCGCGGAAAGACTTGTTCAAGAGACCAAGTCTTCACCACAAAATGAGGAAGAAGTTGAGAGGATATGATCCTGAGACTTATCCGCTACTAGCTGTACATTTTGAATCAAAAACAGATTTTTGAATTTGGAAATTTATATCCATATGATTTGTAAATTTGTTGCATTCTCCCTCTATAAATTTGAGGGTTCTGTAAAGCTTTAGAAATAATGAAAACCAAGTTCTAAAAGCATTCTCTGTAGGTTTTTTTATATGGTATCAGACCTATAAACGACCAACGCCGAAATGTCCTCTCCAACTTCCTCAACCTCTGATAACACTTCTCCCTCTCTCCCTACTCTTGCTAGCATTGCACAGTGGTCACAGTAAAGCTTACCTGAGACAACTATCTCATCTGGAAAGCCCAACTGGTGCCTTACTTCCATGGCCAGGAAGTTTCCGGTTACGTTGATGGCTCTATCCGCAAGCCTACCACTCATCTTGACGCTGCTCAAGACAATGGTGAAATCACCTCCATTCCAAATCCTGCTCATTCTCAGTGGCTCTAGTGGATCAGCTCATTCTGAGCACTATTATGTCTTCACTGTCTGAAAGTGTGTTTGCACAAGTAATACACTGCACGTCCTCTCATGAGGTGTCTCTCTCTTGCCAATTCCTTCTCCTCTCAATCCCAAGCACAAGTGGTTCAAATATGCACTCCGCTAGCCAATGCAAAAAAAGGCAACTTACTGTCACTGAGTACATCATGCACATAAAAAAATTGACTGTTGAACTTGCCATAACTGGTCATGCTGTGCTCTATGACGACATCATTACTTAGTCCTAGCTGGTCTAGGATCTGAGTATGATTCATTCGTTGCCACTATAACTGCCGCAATTCTTGAAGGTTTTCGTTTCCATACTCAACTCAACTCGACCAAGTTTTTATCCCAATAATAATGTCCATCCTTAAAATTGCTACGAACAAGAGGTTTTTCATTGTAAAATTGTTTGATGCAATTAACGAGTTCCAAAAACTAGATGATTCATCTTCATCTTTAAGATACCACTTTCAAAGGCATCAACCCTATAACCACATGGGAGGGTAATGAGATTCATGTTCCTTGCAAGTGCATAGGCATTCTCTTGCCCCTCAAGAGAATAAAGAGATAACATTGCCTTCCGCCATTAGAGAAAATGGAATCCAAAATCTCATGTTGGAGTAGATCGAGAGGAAACAAGCTCTAGAACTATTCCTGTGAAAAATAAGGGACCTATTTCTCATGGTTGGAGTTATAGCAGGAACGAATGAGTCCCACTCTATCCATCTCGCAGAGTTTATAAGGTTGGCTCTCGGAGGAATGAATTTCTCCTGAGCGAACTTGATATTGTAGGGTTAGCTTTTCAACTCCTTATTTCCCTTCCTTTATATAATAACTAGTTGATGCACACTTGGGTTGCACGTAGACAATTTTCAATCAAAATATGAGTTATGTTTACAAAATTTTCAAGGATATCATCATTTTAAAGATATATATTTCTTATCAGGGAAAGTCCACTGGCAAAATGCGGACAATGCCTTACTCTAAGCTTTGCTCACTTGTTCTCGCATCAATAATAAGAATGCAGTTTCTAAAAGACAAAATCTTAACTCTAACTTGAATGTGTTGAAAAAATTGGAGTGATGTTTCTATGCAATCAAGTGTATCCTGTATAAAAGTCATTTTAATGCCTTCCTATAAACCTTTAATTTCTCATTGCTTAACTAATGATTCTGTTATTCCGGCGGGTTCCACATCAGATTCTCTTGCTAACATTTAATTTCACTTTTGTTCCAAGTAACATATACTATAATTCCAATATTTTTCTGAAAAATCAAGAGTAGGCTACTTGTAGCACTTGGTTATCTGAGATCACTATTTCAAGAGTGACCAAACATGGAAAAATAAAAAAATAAAAAACCTCCATCACCTGTTGGATCCTAGGTAAACCTCAAATCTTTCCCCAACAATGCACGTGCATAGTATATAATGGCCTATATAAAGTCGTAACTCTTAAAAGGGGCACACTGAACCCATAGACTCGATTGGACATTGAGATGTTTTGGATAAGAACTTATCATGCTTTGCACCTCTATTGAGTTCCTCGTAATTGACCTTGTGAAAAATTACATTTGGCTGTGATTTAGCCAACTGCTAGATCTGATAACTGAGAAATAATTAGAGAGATTATCCAAAAAATACCAAAAGGATACAAATTTAAAGTCTTCACCAATTAATATATGTCAAAACTGTGATGGGTCTCTCTATTTGACATGAGTTTACAGACATATTGGTAAAGGACCTTAGGGTGCAAAGCTTTGCAGCCTCCACAACAAGGCGAATAGAAGTCAACTATGACCAATTTGTCCCCCGCATTCAACAATGAATCAATGAGTTCTTGTGCTGAATGAATCTCTGCCATGTTGGGTATGCGAGTCCTTTCCCACCATCTTATAGCCCTGCTAACACAAATGGATGTCTGTGCATAAAATCATAAGCAGAGAATTAGTTCCGAACCTAAGATGCACTCATCATGGAGAGAGAAAAGAGAGAGAGATAGAGAGAATTGTCTCAAAAAGGCAAAGAGAAGAGATGGAAAAATGTGCATATGTAGCAGAGGAATATGTTGAATCCTTGACATTCCATTTGCTTAAACTCTGATCTGAGACATGTTGAGGTTCACCCATAAAATCTTTTGATCTGGGCTCATAAAATTGCACCCATAAAATTGTAGAAAATTAATTGGAGGACAAAGTGTTTGAAACCCCTTTGTTTTGGGCTTGAGAAGGGTCTCATTTGATCTAGAGAGATAAATTGACCTTCAAAGTACAAGCCATGGTATGCTTCCTTTCAAGCTAATAATAACACCAGAAAAGAGTTACCCACCATTTCCACCTACCCTTTGGATCAAAAACCAGCTTTTTGAATTAGAATAGAGAAAGATAGGAAAAGCCCTTTTTTCTTATGATAATCAAGACAAAAAAGGTTTAGAAACTAGGGAAACAAAAATCTAAGCAAGGCCCACTTTGTTTTGTTTTAGATTATAAGTGCTGGATTAGAACAAAATGCGTTCTTTTTGACTATGTGACGCGAGAGAGAGAGACTTTGTGGTGTTTGGGAGCTCCAACGGAGAGGAAGAAGGCGCGAGAATGAAATTACATGGACAGTTGTAAGAAGCTCAACTCGTACCAGGCTGACAATATCGGCCAACTTTTAGCCAATTTGGATTTCAGAGTTTTAAGAACCATATAGTTAGGGTAATGGCTCTTTCACGTTTACTAATAAGGCGTAGTGTCACACCCTAACTGACTTGGGTGCAAATGGTTGGTCTTGGTGGCACCTTGCACTAAGGCACGCCATGAGTTGGAATCAAGGTGGCGTGGCTAAGTGGTTCGACAGATTGGTGCGGACCAAGGCAGCATAAGACCACCCGGCTGAGCATGGCAGCACGTGGTGGGCTCAATTGAGGCAGTGTGGGTGCATAGCTTTGGATTGCATGGCATGGGCTGAACCCAGCATGCACATTGGTTCGTGAAGCAAGGCTGACTACTGAATGTGGGCACATGACTGGCATATGACTGCTCAATGCATGCGACCAGGAGGATGTGGGCAGTTGCAGATGCTGAGACTCAGTCAAGGCAGTTACTGAACAAGGCCTAGTCTGTGAAAAACAGTTCTGGATGTCCCTAGTCTTAATTTGGTCCAGATGCATGTTGATGAGGGGCAGTTTCACATCAGTTACTAAAGGGGTGGAACTGTCTGCCAAGTGTCGCACAAAGATCAAGTTTGTTGGCCAAGTTTGCTATGGAATAGTAGAATGTGTGTAACTACTCTTTGGTAGATGGGGGTGTTATCTGTTATACTCTTTGTATAAATAGGGGTGCTTGGGCATTCTGATAGTCAGAGTGTGTTCTGGCTTTGAGAGTTCCTTGTAAATTATTGAGTTCAATATTTAAGGTTTGGGAGTACTGTCCCAGTAAATTCGTGTGTGCTTTCTGTGTGAGTTTCTGTCCCTTCTTCTTGAGATTGTGTAGTTGGTTGCAGTAGCAACGCCTTCACAGATAGCCTTGAAACGAAAAACAAGTTGTTACCCCGTGACAGTTTGGTATCAGAGCGTTGATTTTTGCAAAAAGATCAACTATAGCTGGCAGAACGAATGCAGATCTGAGGGAAAGGGTGACACGTTTAGAGGAGTTGATTGGTCCTCCACAGTCCGATGATGCTGTGGCCCTTTCTGTGCAACTTGAGTTGTTGTATCAGCGATTTGAGGAGATGCGTGTTGCACAAGAATAGCTTCAAAAGACTGAATTTGATCACTTCAGTCGAGTGAAAAATGAAGTCGTTGATGTGCTGGCTACGGTTTTCACATGGACTGATGATATGGGAGAAAATTTGAGTTCCCTGGAGACAGACGTTTCAGTGCTCAAGAAGGCACTGCAGAATACTTCTTTGGCTTCTGGCAGTGAAAACACTCAAAAAGCTAAGGTGTTGACCCTTAGCCTTTTCCAAGCAGTCGTAACGCTAAAGAACTTGAGAACTTTCTGTGGGATATGGCGCACTACTTTAAAGCAGTCCGTACACCAGATGCTGAAAAGGTAGATCTCACTAGCATGTACCAATCTGGTGATGCTAAATTATGGTGGCGAACACGATCTAAGGACAAGTCTCGTCCTTCAATTACTACTTGGGAGTCTTTGTCCGCTGAAATGAAGGAGCAATTTCTTTCGAGCAACACGGCCTGGCAA